CAGTGGAGGGTAACTGCTTCAAACCACGAAGTTCACTGCCGCATTCCATGCTATATTATGAAGCAATTACACAGGAAGCGTGTGTTTGTAAAGCATGAAAGTAACCTTCACTGCATTTCCAAGCAGGGGAAATCATTTCCCCTGTATGCACAAGCAGAGGCTTGGCTGTGTTTTCGAACACCCGCTTACCCCGCAAACGACTCAAGTCCTGTCCCGGTCCCCACTCTGACCCAAGATTTTTTCATCATTCATATCTTTGCAACTTTCTCGATCTTTCGGTCACGCATAAGATGATGATTTTTTCGCTCACAATCAGCGACGCCGACGCCGGAATTTCGGCGAAGCGAGCTCTTCAACAATATCACGTTAAAACAATAAAAATGTAGTAATTGTTAAAGTTACATTTCCCCAAAGCCCCAATATGACTGTGAAGAACGCCTTTAGTGGAAAACGACAGACATTTCGACCACCGGGTGTCCTTTAACGAGGAGCTAAATGTAAGTACAAGGGCCTGTAGCATATCGCTGCTGTGAAAATTCATCCTCCACATTCACCATCCAATCATGCGACCTTCACGTCAGAAGTGGAGCACTGTAACCAGTAGACCACCAATGCGGGCCAATACACAAATGAATAATATGACACCATCGCAAGTAACACGAAACATGCATAGCAGAGAAAATCAACAAAGAGCTGCATATACAATGAAAGGTTCACAGGTTGATCAACCATATCAACTTCTGAAGGCTTTCGCTACTAATAAAATTATAATACATTCGATCAGTCGCTTTCAAACACTCCGGAAGCTTTCTAAAATTTACGTAGAATATCAACTAAACATTACTGCCACAATAACTGCCAATAAATATTAATGAATGAGGGACATGACTTGCATATCTGCTTGTTATCGTTGTAGAGATTTAAAGTTGTTGTATTCAACACTTTCAGACAGAATTAGCGTGCTCTCGAATGACTGCCAGAATATGGCGTAAACAGCCATGATGTAATACCGGCCAGAAGGTACATCTCATCTTCAACAGGAAGAACCACTGCCACCCAAGTATTTTTGTAACCGCAAATGGTCGCATGTAAGGTCGGTTCAAGCGATCTTTCAGTTCAGCGCATTGTTGATCCTATTGCGGGCGTTATAAAAGAATATGCTCCTCTGACGCATCGGCATGATCGCAATGGTCGCAGTGCGGGGACGTTCTTGTTGTACGGCATAAAGAGTGAGGTGTGTATGAAACACCTAATCGTAGACGGTGCAATAGCGTGTCGATTGGTCTAAAGATCTTTTGATTGGATGAAAATCAGAGAGACAGATCTATTCGATGTAAATGTAACAACTTTGTATTTTCGTCATACCAAGCATCCCTGCATAATTTGTGGCACAGTTCAGAAAGAACCTTTTTGTGTGAAATAAGTAAACGCCGTTTGCCAAGTGAACTTTTTTTGTGTGTGCTGCAGTGGCTAATTTGTCAGAAATTTCCTTTCCAATTACTCTTACGTGACTTTGAAGCCACTGAAAACATTTCTTGTGGTCGTCCAGATAACCGATGGTAATTTTTTTTAATATTTCTTGATACACTACCTTGATACACTACCTTGAAGCCAAATTTTTAACTTTTCAACAAATGTGCAATTATCAAAACCGTTTCACATTTGTTATCACGGATGGCTCAACAATGGCCGAAAGCTCGACTGCAGCTTTTCATATAACCGCATATACGATAGAAAAAGATTTCCGACTTTCTCGAAAGACATCGTCTACAGCAGCGGAGCTTGTTGCAATATTACAAACCTCAAAAATTATTGTTGAAAGCCAGCAAAAGCAAAAGCGGGTAATATATTCTGACTCCAAAGGAGCGCTGAAAATGATTAAGGATTTTTATTTTCATACAGATGATAACACTAACACAGAGCAAGACTAACAACTATTTTATTTTCAGACGTTTTCTTCGCATTTATACGCGACGGATAGACATGGCAGAAAACCGGAGGGAAGATAAATATTAAATATTCGCATGGGTATGAAAAGTCAAGTTGTTTTTATAAAATGAATTTTATTTGATGAAAGATTGGTAAATGGTGTGCTGATACATTCGTTGGCGCGTGCCCATGTCATAATGTAGGGTGAGGTTACGACTCGTTCCATTTTATGACAAACCTGTGTTGTGATTGCGGTATTCGAAAAGCGGCGTACGTTGACATTGCGTTACATGTGATGCCAGAGTGCCAGGATGCGCGATTGATTACCAGTTATTTCAGTGCTCTCTTAATCTTGTGTTTAAACACTTTTCCGCCTGTTCGATGTATCTTCTACCCCATGTCAAAGAAATGTTGTACGCTGCTTGCATATGACAATTGACGAATTTCCGGAAGTGCTTCATACTGCAATTATTAATATTGTTTTTTCTTGGAGCCGTTTACTCTTCGACACATTACAATAGGAGACGAGAAAACCAGCTTTACGTTTGGGCGTTTGCAATCTTCTTTAGCGTGTGTGAAACAGTTCTCACATGTTTGTATTTTTGAAGAACGCACGGAAAATGTCCACAATTCAGAGGGCGACCGTGTATAATTTTTCTTGTTTTAAACATCGGCACGTGGATTGACCTTTGCGTTCCCGCTGCCACGCCATGGCCTCTGACGCCCTGTGTTTTTTTTTATTCTACACCATGAGTAGTACGAAAGGCGGCCACTTTTTTCTTGCACGTGTCAAGGAGTTATCAATTTGGAAAACCTAAAAGCGTTGGCGTTAGAAAATCCGTTAAAGCTGTTCCGAGATCTTCAGACCGCGAGCAGATGGTGCATATGGCTAGCTCACCGTTATTTCACAGGCATACTTCTTACAAACTATATGTCCCTTTGTGAAATCACAAAAGGCCCATAAATTATGTACCCAAATGGCTTCATTAAGTAGAAAGTCTTCTACAGATGAACAGGTCTGTACATTCTTTCGATACAGCCTTCACGTCGGGTTAACGTCAGTTGTAATTAGGCGACATCCGCTAAAGTTGATTTGTGGAGTGGTTTTCAGGGCTCCATCTTCCCGAGCACCTGCGCTTTATATCAGCTTACCACTTCTGGTGTTGCTAAAATCTTTTCAAACTAGAAGTTAGAAATTATTGGATGCGTTTTACGCTTCTGTTAAATTAAGGCCTGGTTCAATTTCTGCATGCGTATCTCTTTGAAAAAACAAAACACCTCAAGTTGCCTTAATAAGAAATATATTTAATAACTTAACTCACATACCCTGCCACGGTAATCAAGTGGCTGAGGTACTCGGCTGTTGTCCCGCAGCTCACGGAATTGAATTTCGGCTGCGGCGGCTGCATTTTCAATGGAGGCGAAAATGCTGTAGGCCCGTGTGCTCAGATTTGGGCGCTCACTAAAGAACCCCAGGTGGTCGAAATTTTCGGAGCCCCCCACTACGGCATCTCTCATAATCATATGGTGCTATTAGGACGCTAAACCCCACATATCAACCAAATCAATCAAATCAACTTAAATCACTGATTTCCGATAAGCTCATGATCGAGAGGACATCGTTTTTTTGAAAACGGCGAATAAAAATAAGCATGTGGCACGCGCGCTTTCGATGGTCTCATTTTGTGTGCCCCTGAATTTCTTCCCCTTAGGCCGGAGCCGCGATTTTGAGAACTGCGCTGTTTTATGTCTAAGCACACAAGTTGTTTCTGTTACTGTTAGCATCCTCCCGTATTCTTGAAATGTAGTAAAGTTTGCTTGAATTCGTGTATTGTATAAGGCCGCACGAATGAAAAGAATGCCCGTGCACTATGCTATGTTTTTTACTTATTGGAGAAAACAATGAAATCGGCAGTCAAATGTGGGGTCAAAGTTTGTTTTACTCCTTGCAATAGGCTGAGAAATATGAGTTTTGTAACGCCCAAGATAATGAAAACGATGGAACTGCATAGTGTATGGAAAAGGAAGCGCTGAAAGCTGTCAATATAAAGTTGTAAGAGGTGCCTAAAATATGAAGTCGGGGTGACGCGTGCAGTTATCTTAGGCTGTGTCGTTCATAAACAGAGAAGACGAGGACTTTCTTTAAATAGATAATGGATAGACAAACATAGATAAGCGCAAATACTCACTGCGATATCAGTACCGTATAGACCGACTTGTGTAAATGTGACTCAAAATTCCAATGGTGTAAGTATATATTAAACCAGAAGGTATTTTATATGTATAAACCATCGACGCGAAATTTAAAAGAGTTCGTACTTTGTAATACACAATATCATTTAAACATAACAATGCTAAGGAAGGTATGGACGGTATTATTTTTATCAACTCTAACAACTTGTAGAGTTGATACCCCACCAGTTGGAAGATTATATGACGCGTAATTTGAAGGTCGCAAGTTCAATCCCTGCCAGCGGCAAGTTATCTTTACGTGTACTTGCTTTCTTCACACTCAGATTGCAAGAAGTACAAATGAAAACCCCCTTAATTTCCTTGGCATTATTGACTGTTATTTCTCATCCACATTTATCGGGCTTTTCTGAAGAATTTTATGTCTTTTGTCTAGGTTTGATTGCACTCTAAACATATAATTACGCGAGGAAAGACCATTGCAGAGGCTGCACGTGTACCTGATGTTTACATATGCAGAAAAGACTTGTTCCACGACTTTAAAATGTATGACTCATTTAACCTTACCTTCGAGCACTAGAGTGAACGCGAAATATACACATTGTTAGCTACATGTGGTTTTGTTATCTCATATTTCTTTTTTGCTAACTAGAATGACTATTCTGCAGAGCTTTATGCGAGTGTTGTGTATATAATGACGTTGCCAGTACTTTTATTGTCTAAAACGTTGGAACTAAAAGAAATGTTTAAAGTGCACAAATTCAATTCAGTGTGCAAGGCGTTTAATGCCACTAAACTATGCGTAGAGAAAAGTTTCTATTACACTATAATACTATCAGCCGATTGTTCTTCATTTCATGAAATCATGTCACCGAAAACAGGGTATGTGTTGGGCAACTCGTATGCATAACATCCAGAATAGTATATAAGAATCTTGAAGTTTAAATGCAGCATCGTATTCCGCTCTGCGCAAAAGGGGAAAGGTCTGCTGTCACAATGTCCGGACCAAGTCCTGTATTTCTCCTAATTCTCGGAATCACTATTGCGATGATGTAAGTATATTGCTTCTTTTAATGATTTGCTAACGTTCCTTAACTTTTTACTATCTTCCTGTCATTCCACCTCAGAAGTTATTCTTTGCCACCGATTTTTCCTATTAAGCAATGTTTTAGAGCTGCTGCATAGATTTCAGCAACTACTCATCATTGTAGCTCCTTAAGATGGTATGGTAGGGTAAATAACTGGTATACCTCAGTTTGAGCGTGTAATGTTTGAAACGGCTAGAATTATTCCCATACAATTTTACGCGCTCACAAAAATGTCTCTTGGTATCAAGGGACAACCTTTTTTTATGTCTAGATTGTTTATTCTTCCTAACGCCGACTCCCAAACATTAAAGAGGGTTCACTTATTAAATATACCTGTTCTCTGCAACGACCGGCACAAATGTAATGCTATACAGCAGTATTAGTGGCGATACTTATGGGTTGCATCTTTAGCAAAAAACTATATTACATTTGTCACGAAGTTCCTCTAAACAAATTAAAATTACTGCATGAACCAATCCACAAAGGTGCAAACTGTTGTGTATTTTTCACAGTTTCATTTTTTTATGAAATCAATTTTTTTAGTTCATATTGCCTTGAATTTGTCTTTAACTTGTTGTAGTTCACGCATATTTAGTTCTATCAGAATCTATTCAATACTTTTCAAGGAAAGGCACATTGAGAGAGAGAGAGAGAGAGAGAGAGAGAGAGAGAGAGAGAGAAGTAAACGTTTATTTAGAAACAGTGTTGCGAGCGAGGCCCGGTATGACCCTAAGACAGGAAGGTTCTCTGGTCCAGAATCCTTCTAGCTCCGACAACCCTCTTGGAACTGGCGACGAGTTGCCGCTGTTGTTGCAGGTCCTCGAGGACGAGCTTGGCCTCCCACGTTTCGATTAGGTGGTCGTCGTTTATTTTCGGGGCTTGGTCCCACTCCAGTTGCATGTCGTGGTTTGCAAGGCACTGGCATTCCAGGAGCAAGTGTGCCAGGGTATTTGGTACTCTGCAGAGCGGGCACATGCAGCCATGTGTCGTTGGGTAAAGACGGTGAAATAATATGACATGCATGTAAATGTTGCCTTGCAGGTGTCTGAAGATCACGCTCTCTTCTTTGGTTAGATTTAAATAAGATGCAAGGTACACCCGTCGTTCCAGTGTGTAGTGTTGAAGTAGTGACTAGTAGGTGTTTCCTACTATCTCCATCTCTGCAGCCACGAATCGGGTATCCTTTGGTCAGAGGGTAGCCCAGCTGACGTGCTCGTGGACAGCAGCGTGGTCCGCTTCATTTCCATGTAGACTCTCGTGTCCAGGAACCCAGATTACCCAGGTATATGGAAGTGGAGCGCTTCGCCGTTCCAGGATGTTCATTGTGTCGGCTGAGACGCGGCCCTTCGCATAATTTCGGCAAGTGGCTTGCGAGTCAGTGAATATCACCAGGTGTCTTTACACGTGGTGGAGGTGAGAGCAATTGCTGCTTCTTCCGCTGCGTCTGAGTTGCATGCCTTGACTGTGGCCGACGCTAACCCTTGGCCTTGAGATTCTACGACATTGATAGCATACGCGTTTGTACGGTGGTTCTTGGCCACGTCGGTATAGACCCTTTTCATAAATACACCACCTGACGGTGAGCTTTTTGTCCCACGCTTCGCTTCGCAAAGAAGCGTGGGATAGTCAGCGCCATCATGAGGGCACGGAAAGCGAGCCGCCAAATGCGTGAGTGCTGTGATGTTTGTGTTGGCGGCTAGTTCTCCGTATCATCCACTGTAATCGCACTGCTTTCTAGTTTGAACAAGCTCCTAGTACTCTCCGATAAGCTTTCTGAAATGCTTCCGCTGTACAATGAGCAATATTTTGTACCCTTTACGGGTTGGACGAGCGGTTTCGCTTGTTATGACGGGCAATGCATGGATCCGTCCTGCAAGAGACTTTCATCGGGTTGATGAGAGTCTCGTCGCTGTAGCAACGGTGCAGCAACGCACCACACCACGTGATTGCGCGCGCTCCGCCCTCCGTTCCGTGGCTGCGCGCGCCCGTGCAGCCACGACTTGCTCGAGATCGGCAAGTCGTCATAGGTATAGATCCATTGCAGGCATCAACCTCGACGGCGATACCTCCAACAACGAGTTCAACGCAATCGAATGCGAGCATTGCACGCTTCGAAGATGTCGCGCCGGTTGTAGACAAGACAGCGCGGCGAAGGGCCCGTGATTCCGAGCGCAAGCGGGCGGAGCGGGCCTCTGGCATAAACATCATTATAGTGCGAATTTACTCTCACATATACGCGTAAGCTCACCAAGATTTCCCGAAAGGGTCTAATGGTTCCTGGGAATCGCAATGTGATCACACGGGGGAGTTTACACCCCGCCGCAGTGGTCTAGTGGCTAAGGTATAGTCGGCTGCTAACCCGCAGGTCGCGGGATCGAATCCCGGCTGCGGCGGCTGCATTTCCGATGAAGGCGGAAATGTTGTAGGCCCGTGTGCTCAGATTTAGGTGCCCGTTAAAGAACCCCAGGGGGTCTAAATTTCGGGAGCCCTCCACTACGGCGTCTCTCATAGTCATGCGGTAGTTTTGGGACGTTAAACTCCACATATCAATCAATCAATCAATCAATCAATCAATCAATCAATAAATCAATCAATCAATCAATCAATCAATCAATCAATCAATCAATCAATCAATCAATCAATATATCAATCAATCATCAGTGAAACTGACGGCAGACTGACACACTTATCACCTTTCCTTCGAAAGTGGAAAGCCTCAATAGCCTCTGTTGCTCTATGTTGTGTCAAGCGTGACGATGTTATCATGTGGCTGGAAGCAGGAAGACGGTGATGGTATACGTTGGTGCGGGCGCGTCGTAGTCTCTTTCGTTTAACGCCTCTTTTTTCTTTCTTTTAACTTCTCTTTCTTTTAACGCTTTCTCTGTCTCTCTTACTCTTAACGCGATAGTCAAAAAAGGTTGTTACGCAGAAGTTCCGGCATCAGCCTCAGTGCTGGCGTCAGCGTCTTTGGTTGGGAGCGAAAAATCATGCACTTGTGCGTTAACGAGAAGTCTAGAACGGTACAAATAAAATATTGAAGTTTTCGGGTCATAGTGAAGGCCGAACACAGCCCACATGGCAAGCAGTTGTTCTACCACACAGACTCTAAACCACTTATTAGTAGCGAATCATCAAAAATAATATTTATTTATCGTGCTTAGCTATAAACTTGAAAACACTGAATTGGTTTTATTTTAAAGCTTAGATTCAGCTTTATTGACGTACTTTTGATGAAACTGTTAGATCGCCGAACGCCTTGAAGTGCTGAGCAATGAATGTTGATCCGTATGTTTCCCTCTACCTTGCAGCAACATCGCGAGTACATCCACGTGGGCTATCGACCCTTACGGCACGTGCAAAAGTCCAGGAGTCGTAAGCAATTACATATTCATACGCTTTGTCAACCTAGGGCACCACCGTTTAGTGGCACGAAAGCACCAGATGGAAACATAGGCCATTGAAGTAGCTTTTTGATTGTCGACTTTCCTTTTGTGCCAAGGCTAATAGGCGGATATACATGCAATTCACGTATCATAATAGTTTTTTATTGAAGCTAAAGAGGCGTTGTGGTAACTTACAGCTGACAAACTACAGTACTAAAGAGAAGAGAATGGAATAATGGATAACAACGCAGTGCTCAAGCCAGTAACTATGTTGTATCGTGTATTTGTCTTTCCAGCGCAGCAGTTCTTTGTTATTGTTTGGTTTTTATTAGTGTTAATGTATACTAGAGAAAGATACGTGAGTCAGCGGCCAAGCGGTAAAAGCATTCAGGCACCTTTGTTTGACGCCACTGAAGTTGGAGGACATAGCTCTGCCGATCTGTAACCTCGCCTGTAGATTTTGTCTTTTTGGTGACCAACTAGTGTCTTCAAGAGCACGTGTAGTATGGCGCGGTTTTGCCACGTGAAGCTACGTTACTCTTGACCATAATTTCTGTTATGAATACTTAAATAACAGCTAGACTTAGAGGCCGAAAGTAGCAGCCACTCTACTTAATATTATCGCGAAAAGTGCAGCCAAATAGAGCGGATGTGGTATTATGAGTAGAGTTTTTATTCTTACTCAATAAATAATACAGTTTTGAATAAGCCAATTATAAAAACAATAACGTAATTTTTCCTCATTTGTCTGATATTCAATATAGCTTACGTAAAAATGACAGAGTTATTGTCTGATACAGAGCAATACCAAATCATTATATTCGACGTCCCTATACAAACATCACACGCAGGAAGAGTTTTTACTCGAAGCTACAATACAAATTTGTTTATAGCTAGGGTTTTGTATTGTACAATTCTAGCTTGGTATAGTGTGTTTTTTGTTAAAGGTGAACACATCCACTTCATTTTGTTGTCGATCTCAGTTTTTTTTTTATCATGTTTACACAAGAACTCAAATAGAGCATCAGAATGAATAACAATACAAATATGTGATGTTTAACGTCCCAAAGTCACTATATGATTATGAAAGACATCGTAGTGGAGGGCCCTGGAAATTTCAACTGGGGTTTTTCAATGCATGCCCAAATCTGTGATCATACGAGCCTACAGGGTTTTCGTCTCCATTCAAAAATGCAACCGCTGATGCCGGGATTTGGTCCCACAACCTTCGGGACCGCATCCGAGTGCCTTAGCCACTAGACTACCACGGCGAGGTAGAGCATCAGAATGGATTGCGGACAGCATGAGCAGCATTCTGGCCACGTCTTTGCCATCATAAAGCGTCGCGTAGGGGTGCCACGATTCGAGCCAGCCTTCTGGTGGCAATATGACGTGAACGCGCATGCGCTGAACCAACAAAAAACTTGAAAACAATGTAGGTTGTTTGCGAATAATGAGAAAATGGACAATTAGTGTGCCAAACAAGGAGTTTAAAAAGTTACCGCAAGCTAGTCAAGTAGCCAAGCGGACGTTTTCGTCGCCAAACGGGATAAAAGTGTAGCCACTTTGCCACAACTACAAGGTAGCCTGTAGTCACCAATGACAGGCCTGCAATGACTTCAGAGAAGACATAGCAGCCAGTGCTGCACCAGAATAACTTCGAGGTGGGGCTGCCCGTTTCGCCTATCGCTGATTGTGCATCGATCAGTGATGGCGGCATCTTTCTGATTGCGCAGCACTTATAAGCCTGGGCTCTCTCTCATCTCTTGTCGTATCCTGGTGCTTCCCAGGCAAAACACAATCTCACGTAAACAATAATTCATGGTAAAGGCATTTCCAGTATGGTATAGTATAGTATGGAATAGTACATCAAGGAAGAAGAAAGAAATGCGAGGATGAGGAGGATGTGAAAGAAAGTGGAAGAGCGCAAATCATAGCATATATTCACGTATGATACAACGTAGCTAGTTGTAAAGAAAAGTGAGGATGATTAGGAGGTAAAAATAGACGGAGTGTAAAACGTAACATAGTTGTGAGCAATACAGTATTCTTTGGGGGTGGACAAAATTGAGGGTGAGAAAAAGAGTACAAAGAGAGAGAGGATAAAGCAAAGAATTGCAATGCACCGAGTGTTCAAATTTACATTTTATGGTTTTGTTAAAATTCAGCCCTGGAAAAAAAAAAGAAAACGATTCCTGCAGGTAACTTACACATCCACTGGGACATAAAGTGAGGCAATAATTGTCGCTGTCAGTTATCGATTAACTAAGATTAATTAATTTGCTTGTTACTGACTAAAGCAAGCAAGTATTTTTGTTTTGAATTATTGGAGGCAGTCGTATTTATACACTTCAAGTTAAAGAAATTATATCTTGTGTGTGCTTCGAAATAGTCTGTTGCAAAGTTTAATTGTCATTTTCATGATTACGCATGTAGGGTGGTGAGAATCGATGAAATGTTGCTCCCCAAAATATTGTAACAACACTGTAGTATTATACAAATTAAGGCAAGTAGCTAGCTCTTTTCCATCCTATCTTAACCAGCTACACAAAAATGTACCTGGCCTTACCCATATTATTGTTGAAAACGCCCAGGTCACGAAGAAAGCCCAGGTAAAGCATAGCTAAGCGTATGCCTGAGAGATGAAATGCTCAGTTGCTGCAAGCTAGGCGAACTTGAGAAGCACTGAATGAGCCTCCTCATTATGTCACCAAGCTCACATTGAAGCCTCCATATCGCCTCGTTTTATTCGCGTCTTCTGTGCTATGATACAGCCTTCCTTTTCCTCACACTTGCCTCCTTTCGTATTGATTGCTATATTGTACCATAAACATACAGTCACATAGTGACAGTATGTGTTATGTGACTGTTATGTGTGTATGTAACTGCATGTGTTGTGCGTTTATCATTGTATATACCATTGTCATCACCTGGCACCTGGAGTAGCCTGTCAGGTGAAAAACCAGGCAAACCTCTCCAGCCCCCTCCCATCCACACATTAAAATATTTCTCTCTCTCTCTCATAAACTGCTATGCTATGCTTTACTCCTCTTCTGCTTTCTGTCATCCTCACCCGGACTTCCATTTCACACTACTTCTTTCACTGTAGTGTGCATTACCATATTAAGCTTTACGCTATCCTCCTGCTTTCCATCTGGTAGTCCTTAGATAACTCATCCCCACGCTCACATCCTTTTCCCGCTGCTTCGTATACTTTCTTGTGCTATGATTCTACCACCTTTCCTTATACTAACTCTCATACATACCTTTACACCCCTCCTAGCGAACTTCACATCTCTTCCCCACCTCCTTGCTATACTATGCTACGAATGACTATATGGCATTGACCAGCTGTCATTATTTGTCTTGCTCGAGGCATTACTTGTGTAATTTGTCTTGCTCAGGGACTGTGACTTGGGTTTGTTATGTAAAACTCTGATAGACTCTCTATAGAACCTTGAAATGTTTCGGAGTTTAATCTATGCAACAGGATGGGGACTTGAGTGTTTGCCATTTCTGTGACACACATGCTTTTCATGACGCACTAGAGATACAAGAAAAACTATCCATACACAACTTCGTCGTCAAATATTTTCTCAGCTATATTGATGAGGGCTTTGTTCAATATTCATCAAGGAGATACGTAAGGCGGACGTTGGTTAGTACAGTTATTGAAGTATCAAAAAGCAGTGAAGAAACTGAGTATCACAAAGTTTGCGAACGGGAATTAAAGATGTGAAACTACACCATAGTGGCTAACTGTTCAACTAGTCAAACTTAACTCCGACAGCAGAGCTGTTTAAACCAGCCATTGGCCGTAATCCGTGAATCAAAAACTATGAATGGACTGGCGCTATGTCCCTCCATTTTTTTATCTCCCGCTTCCCTCTCGATGAACGTGCGCCGATATGCCCGCCGTGGGAGTGAATAACATACAGTGAGAGAACGAGCACAGATCAAAAATGAAGGGGAACAAAATGTTCAAAAAGGAAGGCAAAGAAGCAGTATCAACGAAACAATTTTTTCACGAGATGGAATTGAAACCTTGGTACCCTGGATACGAAGGCGAGCATTGTAACCACTCGACTGTCTAGGCATGCTGACTGAGCTTTGTGAAATATTGTATAGCAAGAAGTGCAAGAAATATGTGAGGGTGAAGAGAAAAAAAGTAGGAGGGGAGAGATTAAACCGCAGCCCTAATAGAGGAAGTGAGCACAATAGTGAAAGAAAAACAGAAAAACCAATATATATATATATATATATATATATATAATTATATATATATATATACATATATATAGATAACGAAATAATGCCATGTAAATTATAGGGGAAGCTATCAGACCGAATTGTAATGTAAATGTGAAGAAATAAAAGTGCGTGAAAAGATAACTTGCCGTAAGCAGGAACTGAACCTGCTACTTTCGAATAATGCGTTCGATGATCTACCCCTGAGCTCCCAGGGCGACCATACCCCCAGCCACTTTACTAGGTATATATTGTCACGTTAAAGAGACAGGAGACGTTTTTAAGGCGTCCTCACAAAAGTCCGAAGAGCGGTCGGCTCAGCGCAGCCAAAAAAACAGAACAATGGCACGAGGGGAACTGCTACTTCGTCTGCCTCTTTTGCGCTGGCAGATCAAGCGCGCGGCACTGCCCCTCCTCCCTGAAGAGCATCGCCTCGATGCTAAACGAAGCGTGTATCGTAAAAAAAAGACATTGTCACAGTGTGTGGTACGGTTTTAACCGCACCACGTGCACAATCTCGGGTCGTAGCTGTCGGCGTCGGGGTGGTTGGCTTCCGTCCGGAAGGACTTCGTAATTGACGTCGCTCACTTGTCGTAGCACTTTGTACGGGCCAAAATACCGACTGAGAAGCTTCTCAGAGAGACCTTTGCAGCGCACAGGGGTCCAAACCAACACCTGGTCACCTGGTTTATAATCGACTTGTCTGTGGCAGCGGTTGTAGCGCTGTGCATCGACGCCTTG